TATATATATATATATATATATATAAGCACTATTATAACAAGATTTGATTATTCTAATATATTTATTATATTTGTTTTATTGTCATCTCACACATGAATCTGCATTCAAACCTTTTTTTCTCCTTTTGCAACAGGATATTTTCTATAATAAAAATGTGTTATGTCTTATTAATCAGCATCAAACAAACAACCAAATTTTTATTCTCAGTGATTAAAGATGAGTTTGATAAATGATTGCACAACCACCAATTAGGTGGCACTAGGTATGTAAATGGCCATTGAGCAAAAGAAAAAGAAAGAAGCAGTATGGCGTGCGTTTTCTTAGCTCGGTTTCCATGGTGACTTGTCGATTCGTCACTGTACTCCCGAGTTGACTGAACATACTCCCGGACACGTTTTTGGAAGCAGCATAGCTCAAGTAAGTAAGGTTTGGGTTAATCAACTGAGAGTTCAGGTTATATGTGACGGTAGTTTAACCTTGCTTTCTGGAATAGCCCACACTAGGACACTATGTTGTTATCTAAAGTGATGTACATCAGCTTCAGGTAAATTTAATTTTGTAACCTAACAATCCTATAATGAGTTAGTGAAAAAATAAACTGCACTAAAAATATTAAATAAATTAACGAGGAACACCACCAGCGTTAAAGGGATAGTTCACCCAAAAATGAAAATGTGATGTTTATCTGCTTACCCCCAGGGCATCCAAGATGTAGGTGCCTTTGTTTCTTCAGTAGAACACAAACTGAGATTTTTAACTTCAGCCGTTGCAGTCTGTCAGTCGTATAATGCATGGCAACGGTAACAAAATCTATGAGAGTAAAAAAAACATGCACAGACAAATCCAAATTAAACCCTGCGGCTCGTGACGACACATTGATGTCCTAAGACACGAAACGATCGGTTTGTGCCAGAAATCAAACAGTATTTATATCATATTTTATCTCTAATACACCACTATGTCCAACTGCTTTGAGCGCGCACACAGCCATGCATTATACGACTGACAGACTGCAACGGCTGAAGTTAAAAATCTCAGTTTGTGTTCTACTGAAGAAACAAAGTCACCTACATCTTGGATGCCCTGGGGAGATAAACAGCACATTTTCATTTTTGGGTGAACTATCCCTTTAATAACTAATATTAAACTAAAAGCATATAAAATATTTCAAAAATTCAACATTATTTCAGCTAGCTGCAAGCTACATTTCACTTTTTTTTTTAGTTGAAGTACTAAAATAACTAATATTAAAATTAAAATGTAAATACAGACATAAAAAAAACGAATAAAAATGACAAGGCATCAAAATTACTAAAACATTAATTAAAATTAAAATGAAAAAAATATATAATATGACATATCAGTGATACCAAAATAACACGGAACACCACTGAGATTAAGTAAAAAATATTTTAAACATTAAAATAATAATAAAGTGTTGGAAGCTTGTTTTTGTGAGATTCACCCTAAAAAGTGTCAGCATTTCCCCCAGTGCTTTTCTTTATGCTGTCTGAATTTGTGCCAATGTAATTACAGAGCAGATCCAGAGGATAAATCGAGCCGGAGTCAATCAAGCAGATGTGCAGCCTGCTGGTAAGTCATGTTCACTCTTTATGTCATTTGGCCAGTGTGTTGAGTTTGCATTGTTTGGACTGTAAACATACACATGACTCCTCACATCACACATGTGATTTATAGATATATCATTAAGTGGCAGGATTATATATTCTGTGTATTACAGTTTATTTGCATTAGGCCCATGTGAATGCTATTTAACAGACATTAGTTTCTGTATATGATTGTCATTTATGTGTCTTATTTAAATAGGTCTGAAGATCTGGTCTGATCCCTTCAAGCCAAAATCATGATTCCAGTGTGTGGATGAAAACGGAATGAATGAACATGAGGACTGATGTGTCACTCACTGAGGATTGAGGATTTGAGATACACACACATTAACTCTTTACTACCATGCATTAAATGAGACTTTAAGGATGTATGGATCTTCTGAGTATGTATATTTTCTGTTGGAATATGATTGAAACTAGCATGACCGAATAACTGAAAAGAATTCAAATAAAGTGAAAATGAAAACTTTGTTGCTTTGTTAGTCAGCATTTAAAATATTATGTTCAGGAGTCACTTTGAATAGTTGAACTTTGAGTAATGCTGGTATATTAATGGAGTAACATATTATTCCTTTATTTTTATTCTGAATAAAATACACATCTTGAACTGTTCCTCAACCCGCCTGTTTGTTTAACAAATACATGACCACTAGATAGCGCTCACTTCATTTTGTACATTACTAGATCCTGTGGGAATAATGCTGTTAAGAAGTTGGACCTTTACTTATTCATTCATGAATACTGTAGTAGGATCATAACTTTGCATAGTTCATCATGCTTTATATTTGTATTCAAATTGAGTGAGAAACCTCTACTGGAAACCTCAAATCTGACACTAGAGCTTTGTTTTTTCCCTCAGCATTATTATTTTTACACTGGAGACCTTTGTGTTAATACATTTTCACTCTATAATAACATAATTTCCACTCAACTGTGCTTTTGTAATATTTTTGTTTCTCTTGTTCTTGATTCGATTTCTTGTGTTATTTTGGCACTGAGAGTTGAAAGAGTCCTTTGGCCCTCAAAAGTTGCAAAATCTGTAACCTGAGAGCGTATACCTTGGCCAGGACCCTGTGCCAACTAAGACCTGTTGTCATGGCAACAACACTGGGCCAGCACCTGTGCATCGGAGAGGCCCAAGTCCCTGCCCCTTTCTACTCAACCGCTTTGTGTGTGAGGGTCCAATGAACAAGATCTTCAACAAGTTAAGCACAACAATAAGTATGACACAATGCTGAGCTTTATAATGTACTTTACTATATATACATACACAGTGGGTATAGAAAAGAGGCAGCCCCCTTTAAAATGATCACATGTTGTTGCTTGAAATGAAGAGAGACACAGTTTTTGTTTTATCCAGCTGTATTTACTCAGTGCAACTTATAACATCCAACTGAAAGATATAACACCTACATGTCAGATAAAATAAAATACAATTAATTACAGCCTTTCTTCTTTTGGGATATTTCTCTACTAACTTTGCACATACTGCAACTTTCTGGCAGAGGGCAGCAGATTTTCCTCAAGAATTTGACCTTATTTTGCCTGAGAAGGTGATCAGCTACACCTGGTTGAGTTTACAAGTCATTTTTAGGAGGGGGGTGATCCTTTTCCAACTCAGTGATTCTGTTTTTTATTTATTTATCTATTTATTTTTCTGACATATTGATGTTACATCTTTCACTTGGATGTTATAAGTTTCACTGAGTAAATACAGCTGGATAAAACAAAAACTATCTATCTATCTATCTTTTTTGGGATCTAGGGTTTTAATGAAGAACTTTTAACATTCATGGGACCTTTCCAGTGTATAAAAGGTTCTTTAATAATCTAAAGAAACCTTTTCATTTAAGAGAAATGTATTTATTTTATTAAATTGTGCTTATTCAATTTCACTTAGTAAAGTATAAAATATAGCAAATAAATGTTTTGAGAGTGAACCCTGAATCCATATTTAGAGTTTTTATCTAAAGCAAACTTTAAAAACCTTATATCCACCTTATTATTCAACATGGAAGTAAGCCGTTTTCTGTGAATGTGCGGAACTTAAGACACACCGATTTGTAATATCAAGCAGCAAAACGAACAGTTTTGTACGGCTAAAAATAGCGGGGCGGATGACACCAGAAGCCAGACCCATAAAATCCACGGGAAAAATAAGGTGGATAGGTTTTTAAATCGCTCTTTTATAGTATTTCAACTTGGTACTCACCATGAAAATAGCCAACCAACCATCTTTATATTGTTAAATTGTTCTTCACACACACACACAAAAAAGTTATTTTAAGAACTGTTCACTTAAAGGTTGTTGCTGCAAAATCCCCTTTTTGGAAGTGTATTGTATAAGGTAATTGAATATTAAGTACAAAAGGAAAATGATTAAACTTTGCTTTCTATTAGTTTTCTATTATACATGAGTGAGTGAATAGACTAACTGTGAACTAAAATAATTTGAGGTCCTTTTTCAATGACATGGTGCCTGTTAAAATGAATGCATGTGAGAAAGGAACAGAGAGGGGGTTTACTAGAGGATGCAGAGTCCTCTGTCCCATGAGACCTGCCGCATATCCAAGAACTGACATAATATCTCCTCACTACCACAAAGAGCACATTGCTAACCCTCAGCTGAGAGCCTGCCAGCACAGCAGCTGCCAAACGCAATAACCCCCCCCATCAACTCAACCAACTCCATTGTTTATGGGATGTTGTTATTGTTGGTCACTATTCAAAAAAACTAAAGGGCCCGGCCATGAGGACGGCCCGAAGTGAAGAGAGGAAAACGGACTGAGAAAAGTGCGAAATTCTTCTCATTCCTCATAGTGTTTTCCAGATTCCTGAAACGACGACAAGGCCTTGGATGCGAGCGGAGGCCGCCACAATGGGGAAGTGTCAAAAAACTGTGCTGGAGCAACCAGAGCAGCAGTCCTCAAGTTACCCGACAGGCCTCTAAACACGAAGCATTAAGATGGATGGAATCTTTCACCTGAGGCTGTGTGTGGAAAAGCATTTCTGAGTGTGCTTGTGGGGTTTCATCCTCTTAAGAGTCCGGCCTTTTATCTGGTTTAGTTGTGAAAGAGTTAAACACTCACAGCAGGGAGTCAGTTGGCTGCTTCATAAGTCACTGTCTCTGTTAAGGCTCTATTGTACAGCTGTCCACAGATTGTACTGCTGATATGAACTCAAGAGACGAACTTGAAGCCTCTTTTGCACTTTTCTAGTTGTCAGAGTTTTTTAACAGCAATGGGACGGGGTCCGATGCTCCAGCCAAAGCTATTGGGAAATGGCAGAAATGATTTCCAATGGGAAAAATAAGTGCACAGACTTCAGACAAAACTAAAATCGGACATGGATAGAGTAGATATGTGCGGTTGGGTTTTTTGTATTTGAAACCTTAAAAAAATATATTTATACTTCAAGTTCATTTTAAGAAGTAAACTTAAGTTGAAGTATATTTTCCCAAGTATACATTATATAGTAAGTGTACTACTTTAATACTTCTTGGGACTGAATTGACCTACTTTTTAGTTTATAAAGGTATACTTTTAAGTGTGCCTAAAGTATAAGTACACAACTGGTTTACGTCAACAGTTTTCTTCTCTATTGCAACTATATAACTTTAATACAACTGAACTTACAGAGAGTCTGTTAGTTTACCAGCTATACTATATACTAGCTATACTCTATGCTAAACTGCTCACTTTTTACTACACAACTTCTAACCAAGTATACTTAAAATAGCATAAGCCGAGTATACCTAAGTATAAATTTAGGTATATTTCTGATGAGCACATAAAAAGTAGACTGAAAGTATAGTCTCATATTTTTAGTTTAAGCAAAATTATGCTAAAGCTTTTGTTGGGGTTTAGAGAAAAAAGTTTCAGTGGTGTGGGGAAATCTGTGAGGTGTGTACACGCTCTGGCGTAGTTTACGCAAGCGACGGAGGTGATCTCTCGCACGTATACGTCACTCATTGTTTACACAGTGCACAGTCATTGTACACTCTAAATTATTCGTGAGGGATTTTTGTTTTCCACACATTCACATGTGCTTACAGTACTTCTCCTTAAGTAAATGTGTACTCAACATGCTGTTAAAGACACACACACACTTACCAAAGCACGGCTCACATTCTTCGTCACCAATGATATGACTCTCAAAATAACATAATTGCACCGAATGTTTCATTCTTGAGTTACCACGCTGAAGGAGCCTTGTGGAAACCGACAGCATAAGTATTTGGTAATGTCTGAGAAAATTAGCTTTGGGAGGCCTAGTTAGCTCAGGAGAATCTTCAGCATGAGAAACATAAATGCGACACCTTAATGAAAAGCTAATGGGGTGTATGTGTGTGTTTAGAGCTGTTTATCACCTGTGCTGAACCACAAAGCAAAGCTGCATTCAGAAGGAAGTGGCATCTTTTTTTTTTTTACATGACTCTCACCAATGGATCCTTTGCAGTGAATGGGTGCCGTCAGAATGAGAGTTAAATAAAAAACATCACAATAATCCCCAAGCAATCAACATGACTCCAGTCTATCAATTTGTAAAGTGTCCTTTAGGAATTCGTTCCCACGACTTAATTAGTTCCCCGTATTCGTTAATTTAACTAAATAAAAACAAATGAGTAGGCTACAGTGTGGCCACTAATTAATAAATAAAATTCATAATTCATTGCCACAATCTATTTTGACTTAAAATGTCAATTAAGGGGATTCTGATTGGCTGTCAACATTTTATCATTCATCAGCTGGAAAAAAAAGCATTCAGAAAGTGATTTCAATGATTCTGTGTCATTATCACAGTTGGTGTGGACTTCTTTAATCTCACAGAATCAGAATGATTAGTAAACCTTTATAGTTAGAATTATCGTGATAGTTATCGTGGTGTGAATGGCCCTTAACACTCTCAAACTTTCTGTTGAACTGAATATCAGTGGTTACCTGCAGCTTCATTCTATTCCCAAGCCACAGGTGTGCAGATTCACTAAAACTCTTGATTGTTTCATACTGCTTGATCTTAAATTGGAAGATGTCCATGTAAACACTCAGTAGTCTTATGAAGAAATGTTTGGCTTGACTACCACTCAACCTGGCTGTCAGTTATAAAAGACTATATGAATTTAATATGGCCTTTCAGATTTGTATCAGTGGTGTAATAAACTGTGAGGGGTTGTTGCCTCAGGCTACAGTTCCTTTCAGCCTGGCTCAAGTTGCTCCTTGTAAGCAAACTTCCATTAATAGCTGACAGTTTTAGCCTTGAAAACACTTCAAAACCATATCAAAGAGCTATTCCACAATAAATTTGTCATTAAAGACCTTAATTCAGAATTCCTGGCTTGCATTTTCAGAATTGGCTTCGAAAGCTATAAAACAACAAACAGGCAATATATCAGATGTCTCTGTGAAAGTGTAGATGTTTGACATGGAAGAATAAGAATCAACCTTAATATGAATTGTGTACATTTAAATA